ACACTACAACCTCTGAACTGCTAAATGAACTGGGGAACTGCATAAGGGACATCTCTTCTGGAATTAACCTAGACTCGATTTTTGTTTCTGAGGGTCAGTAGCTCATGATTCCTTGTGGAAGGATTGGATCTTGGGGCTGATATCCCCTGCTCTGAAGGATCATCCGGAGAGTTAGCAAATGATAAAGCTAGAGGCAAAGAAGCTCAGTGTCAAAAGACAGAAATTGACATATTGATCATTTCATTGCTTTTGCTTTAAAAATGTATTATTCTTTCCTCTAGAATTATTTCTCCCATAGGAGACATATGAAAATCCAAGGGAGTCTGAAGTAAGAGGTCAACCAGATTTACATCTATTTAACTATGATGGATTGAATAAGCATAATTGACCGTGTTTGTAGTTGATTGACAGATGACTTGTTGGGGCCTAGAAGGCTAATATGGATTGATATTTTTATTACAGGGCAAAATGGCTCAGGATATGAGTGAGAAGGAGATAAAGCAAATGGAATTAGATCAACTGAAGAAGGAAGTGAAGCTTGAAAGACAAATGGTAATGGGTTTCAAATGTACTCTACTAAAAAAAATCAGTACTTCTGCATCCACAACATTTCAGGAGTGTTGGTCTACATATGATAGCTTTGCGTTATGCGGGCTTAAAAAGTTATAGGAACCGATGAACTGATGTTCTCTTGTTCAATCAGTTGGTGTCAGTATAGTCATACTTTCTGAAATGCAGAATAATAATTTGTCAAAGGGAAAGGGAAAGAATAAAATAAATAAAATATAGAAGGGACATTTGCACAAGGCACACTGAAATAATTAACAGTCATGCAGGAATATCATGCAATTTTATAGTTTCCATATATTTAAACTGTGTCTTCCTAGGGCATTGTGTCAAATAATGTTTATCATTCCAATGATTTTTCATCCAAATAACTATGCTAAATTTTCATGTTTAAAAGACAAAATTACATTAAGACAACATAAATATGTTTGCCAACAAATGAAATCCCCAACAGTTTTAGTCACAGGGCACATCTAGAATGTTGGTAGTAAATTCCATGCTATCAACTACCCTGGATTGGCTGGAACATTCAGTTTCAGAGAGAGGAACCAACTTATCTGAATCAGGCTGGGATGCAGGCTTGATATATACTTTTCAAGTTGTCGGTATTAAAGGAAGAACAAGAGAGGGTAAGCATGTATACATGTAAGAAGGATCTCTCTTGTCTCTTCTAATAAAGTTGTCAAGTGGCTATGGCCATGATAGCTCCATTTCCATCTCCATGGAAGGATGGGGCTGCAACTGAACCTCCCCATCTTCTAAAGACTTTCAGGAAGCCATCCTGTGACACAGTGAGGAAAAATATCACTGGAACAGAGGAAAAAAAATAATATTTGAATGAAATTCACATTGTTTCACAGTTTCAAAAATCTTCCTACCAAATACTTTGAAGTGAGACTTGATAAATTATGCCATCAACTATTCAAACTGGAAGGTTCAATTACTATGCAAATATAATTTGCAAATTTTATATCAGTCAACCCACACAGTAATATTTTCTGTGAAGATGTTTTTAGGACATAAATATGCAATCCATGTTAAAAGCTATTTAGGGGAATCAACAGAAAAACATGCTATAAACAGCATAGCAGAATATACATTTATTAAAAAACTGCTATCAAGTAATCCAACCGTAATGAATGATCACTGATCTAATCCAAATTCAAGGCTGCCACATATGAAACTTGAGGACAAAAAAAATTGGCTTCTTAAGAAGTTAAGAAGACTAGTCATAGAAAAGTTTTGGTCTCAAGGAAGACTTCCTATTGTGCCAAATTTAGCTTTAGCCTCCATTATTAAGATCTCATCTTGAGAAACAATGAAGTGTAGTAGTAGCAAAAAGAAGCAAATTAATTACTTGGAAATTAGTCATTTTGAGTTTAGAAAAAGCTGAAACAGTTAAAGTGGTACATTTGAGACCTTATTTAGAATCACAACATTGCAGAAAGAATGAAAGAAAGCCTTGCTAAACTATTCTTCCTTATCCTCTTGCAGGAAGGCTCCCTATTAATTTGTTACTATTTAGAGGTTGCACATTAGAAATCAAAAGTTCAGGAAATGAAATACTGCATCTTTTTTTCCACATAGATCTCCAAGACAGCAAAAGAACTCAGGACCTTTATAGAATCTATGGCTGCAGAAGACCCTATCTTAAAAGGGGTCCCAGAAGACAAGAACCCATTCAAGGAGAAGGGAGGCTGTACAATAAGCTGACCCTGGCCCCACCAAGAGAAAATCTTTATTGTTCTCCTTATATGCTACTAGAACTATATGAATTATATTTACCCTATAAAATGAGTCTAAATCAGGATCGGAGAATCTTTGTGCCCCACAAGGTACTGGGGAGGGGGCTGGTAATCAGCTATATTAGAAGGGCCACAGGATCCCCATCCTTAGAGATTTTCTGCAGGAGAGAATTTAATCAAGCCTCAGAAAAAAAAGGAACCAGAACAAATTCATGACCAAGATATATATGGTCATGAATTTGTTCTAGTTCAGGGGTAGGCAACCTCTGCTCTTTTATGACTCATGGACTTCAACTCAGCTATGCTGACTCAGGAATTCTGGGAGTTGAAGTCCATGAGTCATAAAAGAGTCGAGGTTGCCTACCCCTGTTCTAGTTCCTTTATACAGAAAGAGGAGTGGGGGGAAGAGGACATCTCTTTTAAGACTTAAATATATTTGTTATTTTTGTAAGTAGGTAGTCTTTATTAATTATATATTTCCTGAAGAGGTCTAGGCAAAGGTGGACTAGATAATCACTAAAATATATTACTATTCTATATTCCATGATTTAATTATTACTTTTTTTTAAAGTAGACTTCTGAATTATTTTGGATGCTTTATTTTTTGCTGGAAAAATGATGAAGGCTTGAAAAAGAAACAGAATAGAAAAAAGATTATTACTAAAGATTTCTCTCTCTTCCCATTCTGTCAAGTGGCTACCTGGAAGGCTTTAAAAATATGAATTATTTAGTTATTCACTTTTATTAATACTGTTGTTTTTTTTAGAAAATTATATTTGTAACTTAATTTAGTTTTCCCATTTGCACCAACTGATTAAGCACTACTTTGTCTGATGTCAAAGTAGTGTCTCTCAAGCAATGCAATGTTAAGATTGCAGAATTCAGTTCCCAGAATCCCCAGCTAACATGAGGCTGAGGAATTCTGAGAGTTGAAGTGCACACATCTGAAAATTGCCAAGATTGAGAAACACTCATCTAAATTACAGTCTTCACATGCAAGAAAGCCTCATCACAAAACAAGTTGGGCTAAGAAACTCAGTGTCTCCATAACAGAAACACAATATAAGAAAGGAAGTTATGATGAAAAAGTCCAGATCGATGGATATTGAGATGGTGCAATATAAATATAATTAAATTAAATTAAAATAATGGAATGATTCTTGGCTTCCTTTGATTACCATAACTAACTACTTCTCAAAATATGCTGGGAACTATATCATCTGTTCTTAAGGCTCAGCTATTCACATTTATGTAGCAAAATCTTAATCCCCATATTTACTGCAGAAAATAGCTTTGAGAAGAAGCTATTTGAAAAGGCTAATGGAATCTACTATTCTCCACGTTGACTTTGCCATGTTCCTACTAAGTTAATATCTCATCTGATTGTTACTTTTACTTCTCAGATGTCCCAAAGGTGTTTTTTAAGAGGCAACTAGACTTGTTTTTCTTTGAAGACGTTTCGCTTTTCATCCAAGAAGCTTCTTCAGCTCTGAATGGATTGTGGGGAATGGAAGGATTTATATTCCTTGCTGACAATAGGTCATTTGCATTCTTTTAGAGAGTCATTGAGGCCACTTGGAGGTTTATCTGTCCCCTCATGGTCACCTGAGTGGTGCAAATGAGTGTGGAGTCTTCTTGGAATTGCTGAAAGGACTGTGTTGTAGACCCTAACATTTTCAGCAATTCCAAGAAGGCTCCACACCCATTTACACTACTCAGGTGACCCTGGGGACATAGATAAATTTCCAAGTGGCCTCAATGACTCTCTAAAAGAATGCAAATGACCAGCTGTTTCCAAGGAATATAAATCTTTCTATTCCCCACCATCCAGTCAGAGCTAAAGAAGCTTCTTAGATGAGAAGTGAAACGTCTTCAAAGAAAAACAAGAAAGACCAGTTGCCTCTTGAAAAAGCACCTTTGGGACAACCATGACTTGGATGACTGAGAATCTCCATAGACATTTACTTTTCAGATCTTACTGCAGATAGGATGTTCATCTATCCCTGAGATAAAAGAATTGCAAAGCACGTAGAAAAGTAATGATAGATAGATAGATAGATAGATAGATAGATAGATAGATAGATAGATAGATAGACAGAGACAGACAGACAGACAGACAGATAGCTCTGTATTATTATCAAGAGTAGATAATGGGTTATGTCACTACATATTGTATAATGTTTAGTTCCAGATCTAGTTTCTGCAAACCGTATTACGAAGTACAGATATGACTAATAGTTTTAAATAAAAATGCACATTTTTCCATGCAGCACTGAAATAGCCTGTTTTATTATTATTCATTTGGTGGAAACTCATACAAACATTGTAGAAGGCAGGCATATAAGGTATGAAGTATGCAAGAAGAGAAAGAAATTCTGAGCTGGTTTTGACAAGAAAACCATGCTGTCACTTTCAAAGCTCACTTATTTCACTTCAGACGTAGAATGGCTAAGCAAATCTACTTAATTCCATATTTTAAAGTTTGATTTGACCACCTGAGCCCTAATCCATAAAATTCAATCCTAAACACAGCCTGTATCAAGTGTGAATGTCCCAGAAGCATTTTAATGGTGTGGAAAAGTCAGTATCAGACAACACACATTTTTTCTTATATTCAATTCGTCTCACCTTACTGATTTATTTATATTTAGACAAACAGATTATAAGTACTTCCCTACAATTTGTACCATGACAGCAGTTCCAAGTTCCAGACTTGCTATTAGGCAAGATATGACAATGAGAATAACTCAGGAAACAGATACTGGCAAGAGGAAGCCGGGCAGCAGAGATGAAAAAAGAGTATGCGGTATTCAATTGTCTGGTACTGGCTGCCATCTTGACTTTTTAAAAATCTTTGTGGTTGTCTTTGAGGGAAAGCAATTGTATTATTTCCCCATGTCATTCCCCCTCCTTGAAGGGCAGAAGGTTCATCTCATAAACAGTTCTTCTACTCCTTTACCACTGTCAAAACAAGTTTGAAAAAGTCATCTTCTGTACCTGTTCCGAGGATGCCACTATACAACACCAAAAAAGTCACTGAAAAAAGTGACTTATGACCATTTTTCACACATTGCAGCATCCCCATGGTCACATGCTCAAAATCCAGACATTTGGCAACTGATTAGAGTGTTAGTGTCCAGGCTCATGTGATCATCTGACAAGTAAAATCAGTATTTAAGCCAGATTCTCTTAACTAACTAACTTAACTAACTTAACAACTGCAGTGATTAACAATTGCAGTAACAAAGGTCGCAAGATGGGGCAAAATTCACTTAACAATTATGTTGCTTAGCAACAGCAATTTTGGGCTCAGTTGCAGTCATTACAGCAAGAATAACCTATACAGCTCATTGATACCTCCTATGAAGGTTATGCAGCATGGGTATTTTCCTGATTGTTTCCGTAAGAAAAGCACTCCTTTCCTCTGTTAATACAGAAGTATAGGTAAATGGTTCATTGTGGATATTGCTCATCTATCAAGCCTTAGGGAATCAATTTCTCCTCTATATCAATTACACATTCTCATTTATTTCCCATCAATATCTGTTCTGATGGGTCAAAGGTCTCCTGATAAAATTAACTGAACCATGTCATTAAATATACTTACTCAATAATATAGAAAGGAATCTATTGCATAAATAAACTGGACACTTTTTTCATTAATGTCTTCTTCTGTGATCTATCGGTTTTAAGCCATGATTGCTGACTGAGTAATGTCTGTGTGGAGGGGGGGAGGGGAAGAGGTGTTATAAGTTGGGAGATACAGGTCTTACTGACATCCACAACTCAGCTAAAAATAAAACCCACTGTTACCTCTCAAGTAACTGAAATGGTAACCCCAAGGGAGAGAGCCACCCAAATCTTGTATTTGGAGGTCTGGTCCATCTAAAGTAGCATTTTTCAAACTTGGCATCTTTAAGATGTGTGGACTTCAATTCCCAGCATTCCCCAGCCAGCATGCTTGGAACTGCAATCCACCTATCTTGTTGCCAAGTTTGAAAAACACTGATCTAAACAAGATGAAAATGCAGTTAAAGTGCCTATAGTTGTACATGACTGCACATACTGATTAAATTGGAACAATACATATATTTGCCTTTGTTTTTATTAACTGCATCCAAGCACCACAGTGTAACAATCTGTTCCTTGAAAGAGTTGAAGTAATTACCTGAGATCATCTAACTAAAAGTGATGACAGAAAAGGAAATCCTTAGAAAAAGAGTAATGTTTACTAAATCCTTCACATTCAAAAATGCTCCATTCAGGATTTCAGAATTGGAGCTTCATTTTTTGTTCTATTCTTCCATTCTGTTATCCTTGCCTGTCTTACCTATGTGAAGCGCTGTACAGATTTTTTTAATAACCTGATGATTAGGTTTATTTTATGTGCTTTGAGACCAGAAATCTATTCTTTCAATTCATCATATGACACAAATGTTTTCCTGATTTTTATTTTGGTTTTTAACTCTCTATTCACTGAATGCCGTTCTTTATACTTTTAGACAGATACTCTGTCCACTTACTACTCATCTCTGTATTAGCATTAAGAGATAAGTAAATAGCCTCTGGCAACTAGAACAGAATAAAATGACAAGGTTTCTTCACATTGCTATCTTTGAGGTAGATTCGTTTTTTTATGAAACAATAATTTAAAACTTATTTAAATAAAAGCATAACTAATCATTAAAATGTTTATTTACCTGGAATCCTTCCCCCCCCCCCCCTATCTTCCACTTAAATACCCAGCATTATATAATATTTATATACCGGTGTTGCTTACTTCTTTGGTAAACCAAATCTGATGTTTAAAAGGTGAAAAACCAGATACTATCAAACGGGGATGACCAGAGTGAGGGGAATGGAGACTAAGCCCGACAGCATAATTTCGGCCCTTAAGTATTAAGTAAAATGCTAATTTTAAGGAAGTGGATACTTGCATAACTGCCTACCAACCTTCGAAATTTCCTGTTCTACCCCAATACTAACATTGCTGCAGTTTAAAAAAAAATCAAAAACTTGCATCTTAATTCACCAGTTTATTTGCATCGGGTAAAAGAGACTGAGATTAAGTTGTCTTTTTTAATGCATCACCAAAAATAAGTTAATGAGGGGGGGGGAATAGAAAATTTAGACTGAGAGACGCACCTCTCATAAAAATTGAAAGCAGGAAGGATAGACTGCAGCAGGCTGCTTTTTTTTTTCTCCCCTGTTGAAACGCAAATTACTTTCCCGTTTTAGCTAATAGTTAAGCGCAGCTGGAGGCATTCTGTCGGCGCTAACCAATGAGAATCAGAAAAGTTTTCTTTTGGCAGCTCCCTGATTACCCCCTCCTTCACGTATTCTGACAGGCGAGAGACTTAAGCATGCGCAATAGCCACTTCTGTTAATCGCGAGCACAAAATGCTGTTCTACGCCTGGGGCATTTTTGCGATTGACGTGTCTCTTCGAAGTTTATTAGGAACTCCGCAAAAAAAAGAAAGGACACAGGAGGTCCCACCGAGATTTGAACTCGGATCGCTGGATTCAAAGTCCAGAGTGCTAACCATTACACCATGGGACCTGCTGATTCACGGGTGAAGCAGGAGGCTTTCTGAGTCCTTGGTAGCAGTCTTTTTCTTCTTCTTCTCCTTCAGTACATTGCATTTTTAGGTGCAATCTACCAAGCAATCAAAAACAACCATGGGAACATGCAGCAAAAACGCGGACGAGGTTGCCATAGCAGCAGGACCAAGCCAAAGCTAACTTTCTCGCGCGCAGACCTGCGACATCAGCTGCTCAGCTTAGATCACAAACTCCCATAATACCCCGGAGTACGTGCTTGGCTTGAAACGTGTAGCCCAGCCAATCTGCAAGAGGGTGGCGACTGGAAGAAAAGCGAGGAGGGAGAAGGAAGTTGTCTTCCTGTTTACAGAAGGAGGTACATTTCTGTGATACAGTTCTCTTAGTGAGGCTGATCAGTCTTAAACTAGGAGGAAAGGCAGCTCACACAGGTGCACAATTGTTAGTCTAACTCAGGGGTAGGCAACCTTGGCTCTTTTATGACTCGTGGACTTCAACTCCCAGAATTCCTGAGCCAGCTGGCTCAGGAATTCTGGGAGTTGAAGTCCACGAGTCATAAAAGAGCCAAGGTTGCCTACCCCTGGTCTAGCTGGAGGATCAGCCCAGGACTTGTTCAAGACATTGGGGTGTTTGATAGAATACCCAGTTCTCCCATGTTGGAAAAAAAAAGTTGTCTTTTGCTACTGAATCTCTCTTGAACTCTAATAAGCTGTTGGAAACTCTTGTGGCTGGAGGTTTCCCAATAATCAAATCAGTTTATTATAGTCATATGGCCAGATGCAATAAAATATCTATTTGTTGGCTACTTGCATACATACATATATAAAAAAGCAATGAACATAATCTAATGATGAATAAGAAATGTAAGGTCACTGGCCCTTACTTAAATTTGAGATACCATTAAAAGTCTAATCAGGCAACACAAACAGAGGCTTCTTAAGGAAACAGTGCTTTAATTGATCAAATAAAACAGCTGGGTAGAAAACAATCTGGAACACTGGCAGAGTTACCTCCAGACATGTCACACCTTAGGAAGTTAGTAGCATTGCCTTATAAACTTTGTTAGCTAATGAAAATCAGACAACAGAGCTATTACATCATAAGGAAGACATCAGTCATTCCTGTACACTCCCTTATTCCCTCCCTCAGTACATCCCATCCATGTACATGTTTCCCACGCTTGCACAAAATTTGTCCATGATGCAAATGCTGATTACCAAAGCAAGACAGCAATAGTTAGTTAGGCCAAACAATTTCTTTTTGTTCCAGTTATTATTATTAGAAAAGATTAATTTATCCAAACAGACAATGGCACAATGTCCTTGATTTATAACCAGTGGTGGGATTCAGCCAGTTCGCACCACTTCGGCAGAACCGGTAACTAATTTTTTGTTGCCCAGGCCCAGAATGGATTTCCGAAAGTGGCATCCGTACAGAGAACAGATTTGTTATGTGCTCCTGGCCACTTTCCTTCGTGACCAGAGGCAAGCTCGCCTGATCAATAACCAGCCAAGACACAGTGAAGGCCTTTTGTTTCGTTTATTGCAATAAGCGGGGAGAGAAGCTACCAAAGCTTGGTTCTCTCCAAAGTTTTAACCCAAAATATTCCCTTCTTTATACAGCCCTGTCCCGGCTGCCCCATCCTCCTCTTTCCCCATTGGCTGAGGTACTAGGAGGTTACACTCTTTCCGACCACCTCCTACCTATTTCCTGATACATATTAAATCATACATCACATGTACATTAGTAATATAAAATAAAATAATATAAATATAATATAAAATAATATAATATAAAATATTAGACATATTCAACTGTTGGTTTTGAGTTTTGGGCCTCTTAGAACAATAGGTTCTTTCCTGTTTTTCAGTTTAGTTAAGTTTTCCTGGCTAGCCATTTCCTCTTACAGATGTTTTTATAGCTTGTCTTCTTCCTTTCCCACTCTAAGACCCAGCGAATTTTTGCCTACGTATTTATCTTACATCCTGCCTGTAATGTATTGGCCACAACTGTTTTAAATCACTTGCTTAATGTCTGACCTACATTGCTGTATTGTTTAACAGTTGCTGTTACTGAAAGCCAGACTGGCTGTCTCCAAGCTGATAATGAGGTTTGGGGTGGGTTACTTTAAACCTATTGGTTGCCACCTAGAGGCTAACTGTATAAATAGCTGTGCAGCCATATTTTGGCATCATTGCAAGGAGGCCGTGTGTTCGCCAAATAAGATTTGGCACAGGCCT